ATATTATATTATATTATATTATATTATATTATATTATATTATATTATTAGCTGTCACAGCTGAGTGCTGTAATTAAGCAAACAAGGGATGACAGGGAGGAGGAACTGCCAGCTGCCTGTGTGCCCTTTGGCTCAGTCTGATCTCTGATCCCCAGTCAGGCTCTCCCAAATGGGATTGTCCTGGCATCCAACTGCCCATGGCAGTGTCCCATTGTTACTCACATCAGAGCTGTCCTGGGCATTGACTGTGAGACCTGGCTCTTCTCCAGAGCCAGCTCCACAGCACCAGCTAGTCCTGGGCAGGTTGGAGTCAGGGCTTTGCATTTCTACTGTCAGGAAACAGCTGTGGGCACTGGGAGAGTCCTGGGGTCTTTCTCCTCTGGCCCACCATGAGGCTTTGATGTAGTCCAAGAGATACTAGGACGTGCTGAGCTCTCAGATCACCTCAAGTCACTGACAGGCACCTGCCTGTGAACAGTTCCCCTGGGGGTGAATGGATCCGGGGTTAGTGCTGATGCTGAGAAAGGGGGAGCAGATGGATCTGGGTTTAGTGCTAGTTCTGGAGATGGGGGAGCAGGTGGATCTGGGTTTAGTGCTAGTTCTGGAGATGGGGGAGCAGGTGGATCTGGGTTTAGTGCTAGTTCTGGAGATGAGAGGGTAACTGAGCGTGTGGGACCGAGGCAACCTTCTGCCTTCCTTCAACCCTTCTGCCTCTCTGCTGCAGGACTACATGCAGAATGTCCATGGGAAGGAGATCGATCTGCTGAGGACGACAGTGAAGGTCCCGGGCAAGCGTCTCCCCAGGGCCACGACGGCGGCGGCGCCCAGTGCCAGCCCCAAAGCCAACGGGCTGGCCAAGGAGAGGAGCAGCTCCCAGCTGGCAGGAAGCACAGGTAAGAGCTGGTGTGGGTGGCACAGGTAAGAGCTGGTGTGGCAGACACAGAGCTGGCAGCTGTCCCTCCCTTGATACGTCAGCAGCCCTTGCTTTTCTGAGCTGGGAACAAAACCCCTCCTGAAGTGTCTTGTTTTTGCCACCCTCGGGGAGTCCCTTCGGGGGATGTTGGCGTTTCTGTGCGAGTCCCAGGTAAGCTCCTGTTGGGTTTTTGTGCTGGTTGGTGTCCAGGACAGAAGAAAGTCAAAGGGCTTAACTGGTGGCGTGAAACCTTGAGGAGTTTCCTCAAGAGCATCAAGGCTGATGAGTTGCTGCACGTGGGGAAAGCTGCTGCTCCCTAAACCAAAGGAAATCCCAACCTGGGATGGCTCTTGATCAAGTTCTTCTCGGTTTCTGTCCTTTTTCATGAACCTCTTTTCCTCTTTGCTGTCCCCTGGAGAAATGGTGAGGGGCTAGTTTGGGATCATCACTGTGTTGCACACTGAATAGGGGCAGCTGCCCCAGAGTGTGATGAAGGGAGGCTGGGAGGGTCTCTGGCCTCTGCCACACTCCTCTCATAGAGCTCCAGCCATGCTCCTCCTCTCACAGAGCTCCTGCCACACTCCTCCTGCTGCTCCTGCCGTGGGAGATTCTCACTCTGTGGAAGCTGTTGAACTTGAGACTTTTCTACCTATGTTTCCCCCTTGGGGCTGGTGCCCTGGGCCAGGATGGGCAGTTTCCACCCACCTCCTTCCCAGCCAGCTGTTGGCACAGTCTGGTGCACAGGGTATGGGAACTGCACTCTTTGGGGTGACGAGGGGAGTGCTGGTGGTGCTGCTGATCACAGAAATCCTTCAGAATCTGGTGTTGCCACTGAGGGGGAACTTTGGTGCCACATCTCTGTCCTGTTCATTCCTGCCCTGCGCCCCAGCTGTGCCCATGTCCGGGGTGCTGTCAGCACGGACCTTCAGAGTGTCCTGGCACTGAGGACACGTGGGGTGGGTGCAGCTGGGCCGAGTGCTGGGAGCTGCTGGGATCCTTGGCATTGCACACACACGAGGGATGGGGCACAGTAACATCTCTGTGCTCACAGAGTGCCAAGGGAGGCATAATGAGCCTTTTTGAACCCAAACTGCTGTTCCTGTCGAGTCAGAACTCATCTGCAGACCAGATAAACCGTGTGTTCTGACTGGGGATGTGCAGCTCTGCCTGTTTCCTGCCACAGCTCTCCCCTGTACACTGTCACTTCACCACCAGCCCACACCCTCGGCGTGCCCCAGCAGGGGACAGTTCCTGCCTCTGGACAGGGACACTCCTTCACCAGCGTGTCCGGGGTGCCTTGGCTGAGTTCTCACTTAGCAGAGCTATCGGAACTGGGGGAGGGATTCAAACCACAGAAGAGCTTATGCTGCTGTCAAACCAACTGTTGATGTAACCCCGTTTCCTGCTCCCAGCAGCCCTGTCAGTGCTGTTGGGCTGGCAGGGGCAGGTTGGGATGTGCCTGGATTACTGATCACTGCTGCAGGAGCAGGCAGGGCACGAGGCCGTTCAGTCTGAGGGCAGTGCTGGAGCAGGCACAGGGCCTGGGGGCTGGAGCTAGAGCAGTTTACACGAGAGGAGATGCAGTTCCCTGGCAGTGCTGTGGTCTGCCCAGAGCAGGTGTGTCCACATGGAGATCAGCACTAGGACAGTGCTGTGACCAGATGTGAGTGTCCTGTCCTGGCCCAGTGTGTGTCTGCCATGTCACAAAGGTTTTTCTCCTGGTACATAATCAGTAAAGGGCTTTCTGAGGAATTTTTTCAACCTGCTCTAATGCCTCCAAGCCCAGCTGCAGCAGATGCAGTCACCAAGTGACACAAACCCTCGGATGTGACATGCTCATATCCCTGTGCAATGCCCAGGGCTGGATTTGGTGGATAATCTACCCAGCTCCAAATCAGCAGTGACCTTACAGTTTTGCCACCTTTGGAGCTGAGGATGGGGCTGTTACTTTGAAGCTGGGGATGGGATGGGTCCACTGGACATCTCTCATCTGACACGTGCTTTGGGCACTGGAGAGGAAGCACCTGAAAGTTTGCAGTTCTCTGCCAGTCACAAGTTAATCTTCTGAGGACATGAGCTTTGGAGACCTGAGGGATTTGCTGTCTTGCCCCAGGAGCCGCTGGGCAAACCCGGGTGGGCTGTGGTTAGAGGGCAGAACATGTGTTTGTGGTTCCTCTGTGACCTGAGCTCTGCCAAGGTAAGTGAGTGTGCTGGCTGATGTCCACCACACACACAGTCCTTACTTGGGGCAAGGAAAAACCAGGGACATAGAGGGGAGACAGAGAAAAAAATTTAAAGTCTTCCCCTGCCCTAATGTGGATGAAATACACAGATGCAGCACTCTGGTGAGGATTCAAAATAACGCCTGGTACAGACAGCTCTGAGCTAAATACAGTGGGAATGAGGAAGGAGCCTGTGTTTGTGAAACCTGCAGGGACTCTGAGCTCAGTCATGATTGTGCCCTGGTATTTAAACCATTAAAGAAGGCGACTTTACTGTGGTCAGGCTTGGATTTATTTTAGATGGGATGAGTTCCTACTGTCCAGAGGAAGCCATGGAGATGCTCCCAGGGCTGGAGCCCCTCTGCTCTGGAGCCAGGCTGGGAGAGCTGGGGGGGTTCTCCTGGAGAACAGAAGGCTCCAGGGAGAGCTGAGAGCCCCTTGCAGGGCCTGAAGGGGCTCCAGGAGAGCTGGAGAGGGACTGGGGACAAGGGATGGAGGGACAGAACAAGGGGGAGTGGCTTCCCAGTGCCAGAGGGCAGGGTTAGATGGGATATTGGGAAGGAATTCCTGGCTGTGAGGATGGTGAGGCCCTGGCACAGGTTGCCCAGAGAAGCTGTGGCTGCCCCATCCCTAGAAGTGTTCAGGGCTGGGATGTCCCTGCCCATGGCAGGAGGAACTGGAGTGTTGGGCTAAAGAGGGCAGGAAAGGGACAAGCAGATCTCCTGCCTGAGCTCTCAGGTGCTGTGGCCTGGTCACAGGTATTCACTGTGGGTGTGGCAGTGCTGGGTCAGGTGTCTCCTTCAGATCCCTGGTGCTCCTCTTCCCAATGGAATGTTGCTTCTCTTGCCCTCTTCCTCAGGGCTCCACAGGTACATCCTTGCCGTGTTCCAGCAGCTCACCCACCCTCGTGCTGCTCTTCATTGTGCTCAGCATGTGTCTCTGGCTCGAGGAATGAGGGCAGCTCATATCCAAGTGCAGAGGGGATGCAAAGTGACTTTAGTGGGGGAGAACAGATGGCAGCCCAGGGAAACTATGGCCAGTGTCAGTCAGCACGAGAGCCTGGCCTCAGCCCGGCTGTGCCCTGTGTTCCTGCTCCCCAGAGGTTTGTAGGGACCTGCTCCAAAGTGTCAGCAAAGGGGAGAGGGGCAGGAAGGTCCTGGGACCGTGGTCCATGACACCTGTGCAGGTACATACATGGCACTTAACGTGGCCATGCACGGAGCACACGAGCTGCTCCCTGGCACTGCAAACAGCTGAACGATGTCAGAGGATGCCGAGGAGGTGAACACTGGGAAACCTGCCTTGGAGTGGGAAGTGAAGTGAAGGAAGAGTCTGCAGCAGTGCCGACCGAGATGGTTGTGCCTGCAGGCAGCGACTGGAGGCAGTTCCTGATAGCAAACATGGGAGAGCCAGAGCACAGTGTGAGCAGAGCAGGCTAAAGGGAAAGGCTCTGCCCAGTTCTGGGGGCTCGTGAGGGACTGTCCAGCTCTCTGAGGACCGTGATCCTCCCATGGGATGTGCTGCTGAGTGGTGCAGGAGAGCAGAGGTGGCAGCAGCATCCCCGGTGCTGGGGAGGCCAAGCAGGGTGGGCTGGTTGGACTCAGTGCAAGGGTGTGAGCTCAAGCTCTGGAAGGTTTTAGGTGGGGAAGGAGCTGGAAGGGGCTGGTGCTGCTTGGTTCCCCTCACCCCAGGGGACAGTCCAGATGGTCTGATGTGTGTCGGGGCTGGTGGGGTGTGAGCCCTCCTCCTCTTCCTTCTCCTCCCGCAGCATCGCTCCTGCAGCCCCGGGAGAGCGTTTTCTGGAGCAGGTAGTGGTGGGAACCACTGCTTGGGGTGCAGGGCTTGGCTGATGCTTGTGTGTGCTCCGAGGTGACGAGGGTCTGTCTGTCCCAGGGCCAAATCCGGTGTGCTGGCACCGACTCTCAGCTCCACAGCACGGGCAGGGGAGTTCCTGGCATGGTGCCTGTCCCTGGCCCCGTGTGCCGCGTGCAGTGGTGGGAGGGAGCCTGCACTGGTCTGGGCCGCTCCCAAACATGGGGATGGCAGGGGATGGTGCTGGCTGTCCGGGCAGCTCGGGATCTTTGCTGGGTTGGTTTTCCAGGCAGCTCCGTTGTGGCTCCTGGAGCGGATGGCCGGGAGTGTCTGCACAGGGCGGGCAGGAGCAGAGCACGGTGCTGGTGCCGGTGCTGGGGGAGCACTGCAGTGACAGACCCCCCCTCTGCCAGGCCCGTGCCCCCCGATGCTCTGCCTCTGCAGAGTGAGGGATTGGCTCCCCCAGGCCGGGGTTGCTGAGCCTGCTGTGATCATGTCACGTCGGGCTCCGTCGATGTTAACATCTCATTATCTTTGTTACTGTAATTACATTATCCGCTGCTTTATGCAGAATTATTCTCCGAGGACTAATTGATGGATCCATGTTTAATTCATTAATCATTAGCATCAAATTCGACAATTACAGTGCACACTGATTGTGGAATTTCAAATGTAATGAGGGAAGAATTAACAAAGAAAAGGGAAAACCTGTTTCCCTGGCACACCACTGCTCGCCGTGGGGGACAATGACATTGAGGGAAGAAGAGCAGTGAGAGCAGGGTGGCGCAGGTCATGGCAGACAGGATGCTGGTGGATCAGCTCGTGCCTGGTTGTGCAACAGTTTCGTCGGGTCGGAGCAGGGAATTTGGGGACTGAGGAGGGAAAGCTCAGCTCGCACCTCTGGAACAAAGTTGCTTTTCCTGTCCCTGGGTGCTGGAGCAGCTGG